GCAGCGACCCAATGACGCGCTTTCCTCCTTTTACGATTAGGGCCGATTTCACGCTTCCCGTGTTCCTCCAGTTTTAATCGTAAACCAAACAGCGTTTAAACGTTTTGCTGCTTGAATTACAGGATGGATACAGGCTGCTAAACAACCGGCGTACCATTCGGATTCCTGGGATTGCGATTGCATAATGCATCGACGCCGCGGAGTGTCGATCATCCGAACACCGGTTGAACGGGTTTAGATCGATCGTCCATCTGGCTCGATACCGTCCAAACCATTGTCTCGTCTCCGCTCGTTATATATTTAGTTAGAAGAAAAGAGTGATACGTGACATTTTCACTCTCAACTTTATCATCGTCGAAGATGAAAATTTCCTTTCCATTGTACGAAAAAGAAAAAAAGAAAAATGAAAGGGGAGAATAAAATTTCAATTCAAAGAATATTCTCGAGCGAGAAACAGTTCTCCGCGAATTAGAGAAACCTGTTTTAAACCGCAAGACCAGGTAGTTTCGTGGCTGCTGTAACATGGCCTGTGCACTCCTCTCCATCTGTGTGCGAGTATATGCAATCCGGGGAGGGTGGCAAGAGCGGTAGCGGGCCAAAGAGCAGTTTCTGACGCCAGTGAAGAGGTGTATCGTTAACGAGAGGCGTTTCTGAGGGAATATACTATATGAAAATGTATCTATAAGCACGACGACTTTTCCTTTCGACTGCCCTCTTCGACGCCGCCTTGGCGAAACTGCGGACGTATGCATCGGGCGGACGACACGATTCCCTAGCGTGGAGCAACGAGAAGGATAAATGCAGTTTCGTGGAACGAGATACCGGGGGAATTGTGGAGATTTATTATCCAATTTATGTCGCGATCGGGGCCGATGTCGCTTGGAAATAGAACGATCCGGTCGAAATTAACGCTCGGTTGTAAGGGAAGACGAACGGCCTTGAATATATCTATATTCAGGCGATTTAAGAGATCGTTAAAAAGATGGCTCATAGATTTTTCAATCCATTTTGAAAAAGGTCTCGATATCGAGAAGGATGAATTTCGATTTCAATTCGAACGAACGTGTTTATATTTGGAAACTTTTTACCCTCGAAAATCAGCTTCTTCGGAATAATCGGTGGAAAGAGTTATTACGTGGATCGTGCGTGGTCGCGGGAACCTATGCTAGGAAATAATTGATCCCAATCCATGGCGATTGGGGAATCGTCCGTAAGACGACTCGAAGACGCGCACACAGACACGCTCGACGAGTTTGTCTGCCGGCTAACTGGAACAGATATTCTATTACCACCGATTCCAGGGCTTCCCTCGACACATTTGAAACCCAATCCAATTTCATATCCACCGTATCCATCTGCGTTCCGTACCTCGAGTTCACCGAACTCTTTTATCCTCCGTGATCGCTTTATTCATTAACGATGCTATTGTTAATTTATTCGTAAACTGCTCTTTATTTTCCATTTCCTTCTTCTCTCTCTCTCTCTTCGATTGTTCATTTTGTTATAATCCAATAATAAAGACGAACGATAAAAATCAACGAGGAAAGATATTAGCGATTCGAATAAATAGTTTCGTATCGCCGGATTCGAGGCTTTTAATATTTGGAATCCAACAATATTTAGCTAGCCAATTAATTAATCAAATCACATCGACCCTCCGTTTCTTTCCTTCCCTTCCAAGAATTGTCAAGATCATCTCTTCGATCCATCTCTCGTGACCAACCGATCGAGACGACGAAAAAAAAAAAAAAGAAAAAAAAAAAAAAAAAAAAAAAAAAAAAA